GCTGCGCGCGCCACGCGTACGCAGTAGGACGGGGAAGTGAGCAACTGCTAGGAGGAGAGACGTGAAAAACAACGCGGCCTCGGGAAAACCAAAACAGGGGAGCCCGCAAGCTGCAGCATGTGTCCACAAAGAAAGGCGGGCCGCTGATAGTCGGGAACAGACATGATCGACCCACGAACCCAGGGAGGGAATTAGAACTCCGAGGCATGGCTGCGTTTTCAAGACACAAACTTGGGCGACAAGCAACTGCAATGCTGAAAGTATCGATCGTGATGTACCGTGCCAGGATTGTGCTGTGCTGTGCCGTGCTGAACAGAGATGTGTCATGCCGCGATGAGTTGCGAAGTGCACTATTGTGGTGTGGATCAAGTCGTCGCTGGCATCCGAATCCTGACCAACTTATCTGGATCTTTAGTTCGAGCTGTCTGAGCGCATAGCTCGCCCAGAGCTGGTTGCAGTCGAAACGTATGGGACACTCAATCAGCTCGAACTCACGATCCAACTCAATTCCGAAGCAGGGCGAGACGACACCGGGCGCAGGGCGCATGGACGCGCCACGGAATGTGCAAGGGGACGCGCCAGAGGACGCGTCAAGGGGCGTGGCAAGGGAAACGCCACGGAACGGGCAGGGAAAGCGCCAGGGGACAAGCCAAGGAACGCGACAGACGACGAGCAATGGGACGCACCGAGGGGGGAGGGACACACGCCATCCGGCTCTGGGGCGTCAGGAACCCATGTGTTTTCACGCGTGTCCAGCTCTGGGGCGTTAGGAACCAACGTGTGCTCACGCTTGTCCCACTCTGGGGCATTAGGAATCGATGTGTTTTCACGCTTGTTTCGCCATGGGGGCGTTCGGAAGCCAAGTGTTTTCACGGTTGTCCCGCCCTGAGGCGTTAGGCACCAACGTGTGTTCACGCTTGTCCTGCCCTGGGGCATCGTGAACCCACGTGGTTTCACTTTTGTCCCGCTCTGGGGCGTTAGGAACCCATTATGTTCACGCTTGTCCCGCCCGGAGGCCTTAGGAACCCTCGTGTTGTCATGCTTCTCCTGCTCTAGATCGTTTGGAACCAATGTATGTTCACACTTGTCCCGCTCTGAGGCGTTAGGGACCCACGTCTTTTCACGCTTGTCACGTTCTGGGGCGTTCGGAACTCACGTGTTTCCACGCTTGTCCCGCTCTGGGGAGTCAGGAAACCATGTGGTTTCACGCCTGTCCCGCTCTAGGGCGTTAAGAACACATGTGTGTTTCACGCTTGCCCCGCTCTGGGGCGTCAGGATCTTATGTTTTCAGGCTTGCCCGCTCTGAGGCGATTCGCCAGGGCAATCGATAGGAATACGCATAAAAAGCAAAATATGCGAGCCAAAGGAGAGGAGCAATCTATAGGATAAAACAAGCATTTCTCTCGAGACACCGCAGCAAACGAAAATATGAAGTTTACCATGTGATCAATCGGAATTTCAGAAACCAGCGTCTCGCTCGGGGCATCCTCAAAACTAAAATCCACCAGCCCTACGCGACCTTTTTACCTAACAGCTTGTTCTGATAGGTTTCTAGTGGTCTCAAAAGAGAGCAGCAGATGACTCCACAAGGGGGTCTGGGCGGGTGCCGGACAGGGTGCCGCAGAAGTCGTTTTAAGCCAAAAGTCACACACTTCGTGCTCTTCGACCTCCCAGAACTCCATTCCCAGGCCACATTTTGGATGCCCGGAGCCAACTGTAGGCCACTTCGTGCTCTTCGACTTCCCAGAACTCCATTCCCGGGCCACATTTTGGATGCCCGGAGCCAACTGTAGGCCACTTCGTGCTCTTCGATTTCCCAGAACTCCATTCCCGGGCCACATTTTGGATGCCCGGAGCCAACTGTAGGCCACTTCGTGCTCTTCAAGTTCCCAGAACTCCATTCCTGGGCATGATTTTGAATGCCCGGAGCCAACTGTAGGCCACTTCGTGTTCTTCTAGTTCCCAGAACTCCATTCCTGGGCCACATTTTGAATGCTGAGGCAGGCTGATGCTGCGGCCGAGGCAGGCTGAGGCTGAGGCAGGCTGAGGCTGAGGCCGAGGCTGAAGGCAGACTGAGGCTGAGGCTGAAGCAGGCTGAGGCTGAGGCTGAGGCAGGCTGAGGCTGAGGCTGAGGCAGGCTGATGCTGAGGCAGGCTGAGGCTGAGGCTGAGGCTGATGCAGGCTGAGGCTGAGGCAGGCTGAGGCTGAGGCCGAGGCTGAAGGCAGACTGAGGCTGAGGCTGAAGCAGGCTGAGGCTGAGGCTGAGGCAGGCTGAGGCTGAGGCAGGCTGAGGCTGAGGCTGAGGCAGGCTGAGGCTGAGGCTGTGACTGCGACTGCCGTTGCCGCTGCGACTGTCATCGCGAATGCGACTACGACTGCGAGAACAGCAGAATTCTACAACTGGATTTTCATCTGAATCTGAAGGGGAATGCTTTCAGATATGCTTCTACATATCGCTGTTAGGTTGCTTTGCCGGGATAATTACCTAACAGCTTTTGCTGATAGGTTTCTAGTGGACTCAAAAGAGAGCAGCAGATGACTCCACAGGGGGGTCGGGGCGGGACCCGGGGCGGCTGCCGCCGAAGCCGAAATCGCTTGGGACATCCTCGCAAAATCGCTCTTGGTGCTCCCAGAACTCCATTCCCGGGCCACATTTTGGATGCCCGGAGCCAACTGTAGGCCACTTCGTGCTCTTCGACTTCCCAGAACTCCATTCCCGGGCCACATTTTGGATGCCCGGAGCCAACTGTAGGCCACTTCGTGCTCTTCGATTTCCCAGAACTCCATTCCCGGGCCACATTTTGGATGCCCGGAGCCAACTGTAGGCCACTTCGTGCTCTTCGAGTTCCCAGAACTCCATTCCTGGGCATGATTTTGAATGCCCGGAGCCAACTGTAGGCCACTTCGTGTTCTTCTAGTTCCCAGAACTCCATTCCTGGGCCACATTTTGAATGCTGAGGCAGGCTGATGCTGCGGCCGAGGCAGGCTGAGGCTGAGGCAGGCTGAGGCTGAGGCCGAGGCTGAAGGCAGACTGAGGCTGAGGCTGAAGCAGACTGAGGCTGAGGCTGAGGCAGGCTGAGGCTGAGGCTGAGGCAGGCTGATGCTGAGGCAGGCTGAGGCTGAGGCTGAGGCTGATGCAGGCTGAGGCTGAGGCAGGCTGAGGCTGAGGCCGAGGCTGAAGGCAGACTGAGGCTGAGGCTGAAGCAGGCTGAGGCTGAGGCTGAGGCAGGCTGAGGCTGAGGCAGGCTGAGGCTGAGGCTGAGGCAGGCTGAGGCTGAGGCTGTGACTGCGACTGCCGTTGCCGCTGCGACTGTCATCGCGAATGCGACTACGACTGCGAGAACAGCAGAATTCGACAACTGGATTTTCATCTGAATCTTAAGGGGAATGCTTTCAAATATGCTTCTACACATCGCTGTTAGGTTGCTTTGCCGGGATAAGTTTGATCGTGCAGTCATTAATCCGCCGGCACGACGCGAACTTGACACTGGGAACAAATTACCATATTGAAAAAGAAACCTGGACTCATGCCCCCTGCGGGAAAAAACAATCAGATCAGTGCGGTGTTCCAAGGAAATGGCTTTGAGTCTTACTGGAGCCGTCCGAGCACTGACCTGTCCAACCAGCCGCCGAACTGCCGCATCAGGGCCACAATGAATCATGCCAGTACTCGGGCCTCCGGGGCATTACGTAAAGGGACTCGAACGACCCGAACGCTGACCAGCCCTTCGACGCTGACCTCAAGAAACAACTCCTGGGAAGTCTTCGGAAGAACGATTACGGGCGATTAAGCCCGCTTGGAACGCATTTATACCACATTAGGCCAGAATCAGCCCGGGATCAGAAGCCAGATGAAACAGGATCAGGCCAGATGAAACGGGAGTGTGCCGGATCCCGCTGGTCTTCGACCACGGATACAGTCAATCCGCGTAATAAGGATGCGCGGTAAGGATGCAAGGGCCTTGAAGGCCATGTCGACACTTTGCGAGCGGGGCGCGGCCAGCGAAAGCGGCCAAGGATGGGCCGAAGGGGAAGGATGCAAGGGTAATCTTGGAAAGTCGCTCATCCTTGCTATGCGGGTTGACTCTATACCAGCGCCGATGCAGAATATAACCTCCCAGGAGTGGCACCCTCACACTGACCGACGCCCACACCCCGGGGTGCGCTGTGGCCAGAATTTCCAGGCGAATCCAATGGTGGCGACGAGGGCGTCCGAGCAGGCCCCAAAAATGGGAAAACGGGCGAAGGGTGGCCAGCCAGCCTGGGTACCTCTCCCCACTCTGAAGAGTGGCATCCTCGCACCGACCCGCACACCCCGCTCCACCGAGCTGCGAGCGCCCCGGCGCCCCGAGGCTGCGCGTCTCGCGTGCGCCGCTCTCTCCGGACCTACCGGCTCCGGCCTCCGAAGCCGGGGCCGCCCGCCCGCCCGCCCTGGCAGCGGCAGGCCCGCGCTCCCCCGGAGGAGATCCGCGAGCTGCCGCCGGGGAGAGCACCGCCGAGGGGCCCCCGCGGCCCAGCCCCCCTCGAGTCGTGCAGACATCCACGGCGGAAAAGGTTTCGCTGCTTTCGGGCTCCGGATGAAGAGCCGGTCCCGGGGAATATAGGTCGAGACCTTTGCCGTGGGGGTCGACGTGATGAAAGAAACATGGCGTCCGGGGTCTGAGGAGCACGAGCGCACAACAGGAGCCACCGCTGCACGGAAGAGAACAACCATCGTGAGAATTATCTTGTTGATTCTTTCCGCTCACGGTCGTTACCTGGTAGGGGGGCGGGAAACGGTAAAGCTAGGGCGGGGTGGGGCGCGTCGGGGTGGGGGTGCGCCCTGATCGCCATAGTGTGCGCGCGATTACCAGAATCGCCAGCATGTGGGGCGGGGGGGGTCCAGCCCCCCCCCCCCTCATGCGTAAGAACGTTACCGTCACCAGGGGGAGGGGGGTGGCCCGCGTCACGACCCCTACGTGCCAGAGGATAAACAAAAAGAGGCCCCGCGATACTTTAACGTAAGGAACGCTGCTCACGAGCAGGATCCCCAACCCACGGACCAGAGGAAGCCGCCCCGAAAGCCGGAGCCCCTCCCTCACTTCAGCGTCTTGACCGTCACGGCCGCGAGCCCCGCGCAGCCTGTGCAACTCTCTGTGCGCGGATCCCTGGGCGAGCAGCCTGTGCAGCGACGGCGCTTCCGCAAGCGGGGAGACGGGGATCGGCGCGACGACTGGGGGAAAGAGGTCTGAGAGCCCTCCTCGAAGCCACGGACCTTTTCAGAGAGATTCGAAATAGATCCATGAGGCGAATCCGCGACGCTCCAGGTAGCCCCCGCTCCTGAACCACAATCAGAAACTGAAAGTTACAGCTACGTCTCACCGGTTCCACATTGAATCCGAAGCAGGCAGTAGACGCCATTAGCGAGCCCGCCAACAAGCACACTCGCACGCAGTCCTCAAGCCAGCAAACACGCATGCAGGCAACGGCGCACAGATAGTTAGAGCATGGGGGTAACTCCCGTCTCAAACTTCGGAAGGTTTGCTGCTGCCACCTGACAGCACGAGGCTCGCGCCCATCGGTGCCCCCCTAGGAGGTTTTAGCCACGAGTCTGTCGCGCAACAGCCGCTCCATGTTGTCGAAATGCGCAAGAAGCTTTGGAAATGCTTCAATGTTCACCTCATGTTTGTACGCTGCTTCCTGGAACTTTATGCCCGCGACAAAAGCGTAAATAACTGCGTCCACGGTCGAGGGCTCCGCACCATGCGAGAACGGCCTGGTTCCCATGAGGCCCTCGATGGCGCGGAGGTCGTCCCCAGCAAGCTTCGTGGCCTCGGCTTCACTGTGCTTGCCCATGCCCTGGCCCAAATAGGTCGCCACGACCTGCTTGCGGATCTTCGGACCGAGGCACGGCCAGCAGCAGGCAGGGATGATGCCGCTGAAATACCTCGGTAATGTCACGGTCTTGAAATTCTCTTTCCGGCGCCAACGCTTCTCGATAAAGGTGTGAACCACGTGGGAGACTGCCAATTGGCCCGGCGAGAGCGAGGCGTCGAGCCGGTCAGGCCCCTTGCTCCGTTCGAGCTCCTCAACTATGAACTGCGAGTCGCTGAGAAGCTCACCTGATGGCAACTTCACAAATGGGATCTTGCCCTTCGGCGGTTTCGGCCGGTCTCTGGCGATCGGGGCATATTCGAAGGGGGCGCCCGTCAGGACAAGATAAGCCAAAAGCTTGTGCCCAAAGGGGAAAATATCTGCTACAAATGCAACATCCTGTTCATCGCACTTGAAGCAATAAACCGTCACAGTGCCAGCCGGATCTGTCTTTGCACCTTGCTGCGCGCTGGCCAGAAAAAAACTACTTGCATTGGCAAGCCAACCTCACTTGAGCAAACTTTCGGACGAGGGGGACGAAATTTCAGCCGCCAGGGTGCTCGCGCGCGGGGTTTCCCCCCTCCTCGCTGCACTCTGGTAATAATTTAACCTAGGACTAATACAGTGTGCGCTCTAGTACGAGTTCTACCCTAGGGCTTGCTGCGCTCTATACTAGTTGATCTAGTACCAGTTGCACCCTGCTGCAAATCGAGGTCTACAGTCGGTGCGCTCTAGAATGAACTATGCTCTACTACTGGTCGTACTCTAGTACCGGGTGTACTCTAGTACTCGTTGTAGTCTAGTTCTGGCTGTCCTCTAATGCTAGTTGTATACAAATACTGCGTGCACTTCAGCACGAACTTTACTTAAGTACTACATCCATGCTGGTACCGCATGCACTCTAGTACCGATTGCGCTCCAGGCCTCGTTGCGTTCAGCAAGTACTTGTTCTCTGTGCTCTAACACTAACTGTACTCTTAATACGGCCTGCGCTCTAGTACCAACTGTGCTCTGGTACTCGCTTCGCTCAACAACAAACTGTGCACGGGTTGCGTTGTGACGCTTGTTGCAAGCTAGTCATAATTGTTATTCTAGAGCTCGGTGTACTCTGGCACTCATTGCATTTCAAAACGAATTCTACTCTAGAACTGACTGCACGGTCATACTAGATGTAAATATGGAACGAGTTGTGCTATTACGTGATACTGGTTGCACTGGATTACGATTCGTGATTTAGCACAAAGTGTGCTCACACTGGTACTAGTTATACTCGAGTGCAAGCTGTAGACTTGTTGCACTCGAGTGCCAGCTGTAACCTAGTTCTGGTGCTCAGAGGACGGCTGGGCAGGTCACCCAAAAACAATGTCTGAAACACCCGAATGTCGCTTGCATTCTGGGCCCCAATATGAAGTGATACATTGCCAGACGATCCGACACCGTGCCTGCACGCAGCGGGCGTGTTAGAATTCTCATATGTTGTCTGGCGAAGTGTTCCTTATGTGGACTAGGGCCCGCCCGCCCTACCACCACGCATCCTCTGAAGATCGCACCCATTTTCCGGGGACGATGTCGGGCAATGTTCCAAATTACATGATGTATAAATCATTTCCGAGGCCGATTACAAACCCCCTGGAGGGGGGTCAAAACAGCCCCCTGGAAGAAGTCAACACAGGCCTCCCCGCTGGGCGCCAAGGAGGCCCCAGGAAGTCCCCAAGAGGCCCCAACAGGCTCCAAAACTGCCCACAAGAGGGCAACGCGGCCCCCAAGATGCACGCAAGACGCCCTAAGAGGCTCTGAAGGATCACCAACAGGCCCCCATGACGTCTCAAGAGGCCTCCAAGGGCTCCGGAGGCGCCCCAAGAGGCCACCAAGACGCCCCAAGAGGCCTCCAAGAGAACCCGGGAGACATTCAAAAAGACGCCGAGAGGCACCCAAGAAGCCTCTGTCCCGCAGAGATCCCCCCGAGCTCTCCAAAGTATGCCACGCTCTCCCGAGAGGCGCAGCTCTAGCACGAGTCATACTCGACTAACCGTGGCCCTCTATCGCTACTTGCACTCTAGTGCCAGTTGTATTCCAGTACTGGGTGCACTCTGTAACTGGCTGAACCCTAATTCTAGTTGCGTTCACAAAAAAACACAGCATCTCTCCAAGCGTCTCTGTACACATGCATGTGCGTTGGTCTGTACAACTCCGGACCTCCTGCGAGCCGCGGCCCCTGACCCAAGCCGGAGAAAAGGTGAACACAAACGGCGTGGCATTACAGCTCCTGGTCGCTTTCGCGGAGCCATGGGCGGGGGAAGCACGACTGACCATGACGCCCTGCCACGGGGAGCGGCGCGGGAGGAGGAGGAGGAGGAATAGGGGCAGGGAAAGGGGGAGGGAGGGAGGCAGGACATGGAGCCCAGCGTCTCCTGCATCTCAACAGTGTCTCAGCCCGGCCAGGCTTGCTCCGCGAGGTACACTCGCACTCACACAAGCAGGGAAGCCTGTAGCACCCCGAGACCACTCGCACTGCCACAAAAAAAGCGGAGGATGGTGCCGGCTCGAGGAGGAAGGAGCAAGAACAGCAGGGAGGAAGATGGAGCGAGCAACGAGGACACCAAAACGGCCAGCCCAGGCGCGGCAGCATGTGTGTCGCCATGTCTCTCAACACTGGATGCGCCAGAAACGGTGTCGCAACGACACGCGCATGCACGCTACAATCGTGAAGCACGGCTGGAACGGGGGAGCGAGCGACGAGGAGGAGGATGAGGAGAAGGAGGAGAAAGGACTGCAGCGGCCGCGCCCGCGCGGGCGCACGTTACGTTCAAATAACATACGTAATCTGTATCTGCTTGCACTATGGAAGTAGCTTCCCTGCAAATCTAGTGCTGTGTGCAATCTAGTACCTGTGCGACCACCTTCGGGTGATAAGGAGGCTGGGGGGGAAGACCCACTGACAACAACTGCGATGACTGTGCTGGCGATGAGATGGCGCCACCGATCTCACGAATGTCACAATCGATCTCACCATCGATCTCACGATCGCTCTCGATATCAATCGCACGAGATCGATCTCATTATAGATTTCAATACCGATATCGTAAGAGATCTCACGATCGACCTCACAAGAGATCTCACGAGACACCATCGGGACACCACGATGGGGCACCCCCAGCCACGGCGGGGCACCCCGAGCCAAAGATCTGTTATAATCGATCTCACTGTCGATCTCACGGTCGATCTCACTACAGATCTCACTATCGATCTCTCGATCTCGCGATCGATCTCACGATCACGATCGATCACGCCATCGATCTCACTATCGATCGCACTATCGATCTCACAAGTGATCTCACGAGCTACCCTCGAGACACCACGGCGGGCCACCCGGAGCCACCGTCGGGACACCCCGCGCCACAGACAAGGCACACCGCGCCACTGACAGGGCACCCCCGCGCCACCGACGGGACAAACCCGGGATCGATCTCACGAGCTACCATCGAGACACCACAGCAGGACACCTGGAGCCTTCGGGGCACCTCGCGCCACCGACGGGATACCGACAAAACACGGACGGAACACCGACGCGCCACCGACGGGACACCCCCGACCACCGCGCGCGGGGGGGGAAGGGGCGGACAACCGGCTCCACAGCCCCTAGCCACGGCGGCATCATTCCTCTCGCGCGCCCACGCTGCTCCGCCTCCCCCGCACGCACGACACGAAAACGAAACCGAAACCGATGTCCCAGTGGGGGGTTCTTCGTTCGTCGGAGATCTCATCCCCCAACCTCCGACTACTCTACTTTTTGTACAACACTAGCATGTAATGCTGCGAGATGATCTAGCAGCAGTCGCATCCTGATGCGAGTCGCCCCCGAAACGAGGTGCACTCCAGGGTTAGATGCATCGTAGTCCAGCATTCGTAGTAGTCCAGTGCTGGATGTACTCTGGTGCTTTAGTACTAAGTGTACACGAGTACTGTATGCACTCTAGCACTAGTTCAAAACGAGTACAGACTCAATGCCACTACTGGTTGTACTCTAGTGCCGAGTGGACCCTCAGCCTCGCTACATTCTAGAAGTACGTGTACGACTTATAACGTTTGAGCCCGTGTGCTGGGCCGACGGCAGTACTACCTTCACTCTAGTACGCGTTGTGCTATAGTACTTGTTGCGCTCAAACAATACGTGTCTCCTTGCACTGTTTGCTCAATGATCTTATCGCAAAATAATGGGAATTTCAACCCTCGAACACGATGCACTCTGATATGCATTCTACTCCAGTATGAGTTCACTCTAGGACTGGCTGCGCCGAAGTACCAGCTACACTATGGTACTAGTTGTGATCTTGCACTGCTTGTAGCCACTCTAGTACTAGCTGCACTTTAATTAAAGCTGTATTCTAGCTGTGCCCGAGATCCAGAACACAATCTAGTATTGGTGGCCAGAGAACGGGTGGGTCACCCGAAAACTGTCTAAAACACCCGTGTATCGCTTGCGTTCTGGCCCCCAACATTAAAAGGATACATTGCCCGAGAATCCGCCATCGTGCCTGCGCGGATTGGGCAGTGTCCCATACTATGGTGCATTGGAATAGATAGGGGGGCGGAAACAAGCCCTTTCCAGGGTGGTCAAAATATGCCCCCCGAAAGTGGTCAAACCAGGCCCCCCGACGGGCGCCCACTCGTACTTCGTGCGCTCTAGCACTAGTTTGCATCAGGGCTAGCTCAACACTAATACTGTTTGTAATCTAGCCCTACTTGCACGCCAGAACTAGCTGTGTTCTGATCCAAAGTGTGCTCGAATGCTGGCTGTGTAACGGGGTGCTGACTGTACTCAAATAATACGACCGCTCTAGGACGAGCGGTGCTCTAGTACTCGCTTCGCGTCAGAACCAGCTGTACGCTTGTACTGGTCCTGGTCAAATGCTTAATGTATTCACGTATTACCTGTACTCATGAAACTAGTTGTGCTCTGGTACCCATTGCACCCTAGTGCTAGATCAAATCCGCCGATCCGGCGTGTGAGTTTCAAGGAGTCTCAGCTACAGCCTCGAGGCTGAGCTTCAGCCTCTGGGGGGGTCGCCGGGGTGGCTCTGCCGGGGAAGGGGGGGTGGGGGGGGGGGGGGGGGTGCGAGTTTCCGGCGAACCCCGGGGCCGCTCCGGGGGAGTGGAAGATAGGGGGGGGGGGGGCGCCATGCTCCGCTTTTTCCGGCGCTTTGGAGGAGGGGGGGGGCCCAAGAGACCCCCAAGGGGTTCCAAGAGGGCCCCGAGTCGCCGAAAAATCGCTCCAAGACGCCCGAGATGGCCTCCAGACGGCCCAAGGTGTCTCCAAGACGCCCCAAGAAGCTTCCAAGAGGCCTCCCAAGAGGGCCCCAAGAGGCCAGAATCGTTGATTTTCATTGGTTTTCTCAGGGTTTTTAGCGTTCTTGCCTTTTCGGGCGTCCGACGCTCGAAGACGGCCCAAGAGGCCCCCAAGTCCGTCCCAAGACGGCCCACGATGCTTCCAACACGGCCCAAGAGAGCCCCAAGACGGCCCAAGAGGGCCCCAAGACGGCCCAAGAGGGCCTCTGGACAGCCCAAGAAGGCCCCAAGAGAGCCCCAAGAGGGGCCCAA